TTTTTTAAATCGACTCAGTAGTTTTTGAGTTTATTTGATACAAATCTTTTTACTCTATAACTCTCTCTCTCTCCCTCTCTCTGCCTAGCTTGCAACCCACAAGGTGGCTGGGCTAGCTTTCCCAATCCATCTCTTCCACTTCGCTCTGTCCATGACATCTTCTGAAATTTGGCACTCACTCATTTCTTTTATGACTACATCTTTACTCTATAACTGTAGTTTCCAATTGAATGCATTCATTTTGTATACATATAAACGTCGTATTCCAAACTCGATAGTCATTATTACATAATCAAGAGTTAAATTAAAGCTATAAAAATCTATAAAATCTTGATATTATAATTAACAATTCTTAGGCCAAGGGACCAAATAAGAATTACGTAAAGAGCTTAGGTCATACTAAAGTCTTAACTCGGTCGTGTTTATTGAAGGTTAAACAATGGCCGCTTTAACTCGACCGTTTGAATTAAACCGTATCGATAATAGTTAACTGTTACGTGTACAGTTAGTGACCGTGTGTTATTTAATTGTTAACTGCTTTACTGTAATAATTCTCTTTGTAAAGTTCATTCATTGCTGTATTCTTACTAATATTATAAATGCGAATATTTGGATGTATGGAAGGATGTTTGTTAGAAGGTATCACCAGAACTGCTGCATGGATCTCGATGAAATTTAGCATAGATGTAGAGCATAGTCTGGTCGCCTACTTCCAATTAAAAAATAATTAATAGCCTATGTGTTCTTTTATACATTCAAATATTCGCATTTATAATATTAGTAAGCCGTCGAGCGTCGGTGGCTCAGTGGTCAAGCACTTGACTTGCAATCTGCAGGTCCTGGGTTCGAATTCCGCCATGTACCAATGTGTTTTTCGATTTCCAATTTACATAAATACATTTATCCGACGTTCTTACGGTGAAGGAAAACATCGTGATGCAACCTGCACATATCTGAGAAGAAGTTTAAAGATATGTGTGAAGTCAACCAACCCGCACTTGGCCAGCGTGGTTGACTATAGCCTAATCACCCTTAACTTAGGGTAGGCTCCGAGCCCCTCGGTGGAGACGTATAGTGAGCTGATGATGATGATGAATATTAGTAAAATAGCTCTTCACTTTTTTCTTTAGACTATATCTTTGTATTAGCAATTTCTCATGATTTGTAGAGACATTACTTAATATAACTTGTAATTAGATAAAGTCAAGACAGGATTACGTATATGTAAGATTTTAGGTCAGAAATGAGCAGGTTGCAATCTACCGCCATAGTTAGACAGGAAGCTCGTGTTACATTATGTTGTAAGTCTGGAAAAACTAGTCTTTGACGAAATATCGTCATAGACTAGTTTACTTCAGAATAGATATTTAATACAAGTAAATCGAAATGGTTTGGCACTTTTTAATCTGTACATATTTTTAACCTAACGCTGGCCTCATCCGTTCATGCATAATTTTGACCTTAGTTGACCTATAGGCGATTCACATCTGTGGAATCGATTCCATAGCGAACTTCAAAAATTTATAGAGCTAACGGGCGACAATCACGTGACTTATTTATAGTTTTTGTGAGTTTTATACATTCTTGAAGTTCGATATGAAATCGCTACGGAGCTGATGCACTTTGTCTTACCCCCCTGTACAATTATGGGTACTGTGCATCTTAGTTATGCCTAAAAGGTTTAAAACTTACCCTAACTTAATTTAGATAGGTTATAAACTTATGAATAACAATAATGTTATGTAAATTATACAGTAAAGGTATACACAATATTAATTACGTAAGTATATAGCATTTAATTTAATAATTCTTTTAAAGCAAAATGATATTCAACACTAAGATGAAATATCATCTTTTCACAAAGATTATTTTTCATACAACGACTCTCAACGGTGAGAAATTAAAAATAAATTACAAGACAAAACAATGGGAGGACGTAATCGGAAACGAGCTGCGTTACGTCATCATAACATCGGATCTTTTAGAAACTGGCTCTTTTTGACGATATTAAGTTACTTGATACATATTTAAAACAACACACTTCTTACTAATCATCAACCTGCCTTTATCCCTACCGAGTGTCGACACAGTATGTACTCCTCCATACGTCTGTATCAACCATCATATCTGAATCCACTTCATACGTACGCATATCCTCTGTCCATCCATCCATACTTTCTTTGGCCTTCCTCTAGCTTTGTAGCCATCCACATTTAATCTAATTACTTACTAATATTATAAATACGAAAGTTTGCATGGACTGGAGAGATGTTTGTTAGAAGATATCTCCAGAATGGCTCAACATACTCCGGAGGAACAAATAGTTATTTTTTTTTATTCGGCACGGACGAAATCGCGGGCAAAGATAGCACGTAATATAAGTATACAGCCAGCCCTACGATTAACGTAACTGAATTGCGCTTTTAGAAAGTGACGGGAGAAATTCCGTCCGCCTTTACGAAATAGAATCGCGAAAGAAATTATAAACGCGCATCAATTGTAACTATTATAATTATGCGAAGGGAGTTACCACAAATTGTGGTGTCACTTTCTTAAAACAAAGTAAAAATAACCCATCTTATTTCAATCCAACATCCAAAGTAAACAGAGAAACGTCAAATTCCATACATGGCAGCCATTATGACATTTCACTTTACAAAGTTATTTTGTGAAAATTTAGAGATAAGTGATATTAGTACACCTTTTTTGAGAGGGGAATGCTTTATGCATACTCCGCGCCCCAAGGGGGATGCGGTAGTTTTGTGGGACTCTCTTCCGGATGGCTAGTACACCTGGATTACATTATGCCAGTACAGTAGTCAAAAACAATGCTGGCATACAACTGGCATAACGTTAACACGTACTGGCGCAGTGAGGTAAAACAATCCATCCCGGGCCACAACTGTTCTTTACTGGCATAATGTAAACTAGGCATTAAATAACGTTAGCTAATTTCATATGATTATTTGAGGAAATTAGCCTAGGAATAAAATTACCAGAGTTTTTTGGAATTTATGAGTGATACCACAAATTATAGTTTGTTAATTGTTAACATTTGTGATTAGAACTGGGATACTTACTAACTAAAATAAAACTTAGATAAATGTTACTAGTATTATAAATGCATATGTTTGGGTGTATAGATGGATGGATGTATGTTTAAAGGTAACTAGAACGGCTGCATGGATCTATTAGAGCATAGTATGGAAGAACACACAGGTTACTAATTGTTTTTTTTTTTTAAATTGCGTGTGGATAGTCACGGGCAACATCTAGTAATAAAGTTAGACATATGTATAATAAGTTTCTTGTATCTGTTAGATACTGATAATGTAATTATATATGTAAATGTAAGCTTTATGTATGTCAACATATATTAACATATACTTTGCATCGCTATCATTTGTCATTGAACATATATTTTACACAAGCATGTGCTAATTTGTAAGTTTATGTACAAAACATTTTTTGTGTAAGAACTTTGCATCAAATGAAGTACATCTTTCCTCTTGCAATAAACATTGGCAACTTGAATATATAAATATTTAAATAACACTAAGATGGCTTATATGCAATTTTATTCATTAAATTGAACACTACTTATATGTTACAACAAAAAATCCCCAGAAACATGTTCCTATGTCAAAATTTTAGCTACTGATTTTTGAGACCAAAATTCCCGTTTAAAACAAATTGTTATCTCTTTTTCATCAAAGATAAGAACAGACATGGATAATACAATACAGTATGGTTTTATACAAAGATTTTGGTCTCGGGAACCAATGTTGGGAGGGATGATGTTTAATATGATTTTTTTTTACAGTGTAAACACACAGTAATCATAAGATTTTTAACCACAGAGTAACTAAGCTGAAGTAAGTCTAGTTAGTAAATATGGTATGTTACTCTGTCTTATTTGTAACATAAACATATAAAGATCAATGGGAAAGCTTGCAATGTTATGATTGCTTCACAATATTGTCTTAGATAATGTCAACATCATTCAAACAATACATCCCAGTGTAGCAAGATCTTGAAGGCCTATTATTTATCGTGGGTACTAGAGATGATTTTATGGTTCACTTTTAAGTAGTAAATATGTATGAAGCAGTTGAAATAATGGGAACTTGAAACATTTTTAACAAATTATATGTTAGCTAAGATAAATTATTTTATGATGATTTTTGTTTTAATTAAAATGACTCTGAATGGAGAATGTAATATTATATTAAGGAATTGATTATATTTGATTGTTTTAATTATTTGTTGCTGAAAAATATGCTAGATTTAGTAAAAAGTTACTATTTACACTCTCTAAACTGAATGAATCACCATATTCAACTTTTTAAACTATATATTTTATGTTTGAAACACGATTCAATATTGTATTGTATTTAAATACATTCAGTTCGGATGATCAAGTTTCCAAATAAATAAAAAGTAAATTTTTAAAAAGTTGTTACCCTTATTCCGTACCTGTCAAGTAGCACGACCTTGTTGAACTCCCTAACAGGACACAACTTTTTATTTACACATATGAATTAAAACAACACTTCACGTTTTTATACAATTAGATAACTGTTTACTGTAACTATTAATAAATCAAAATACAACTCTCAATGTAACGGAAAATAATAGTGAATGAATCTCACACGCAACCTCTTTCGACGAAAATGACACATAAACAAATGTCATTTCGAAATTCTCGTCTCTCTTTGACAACGTCAAAAAGATATATTTTTTTTAATTTTATGACCTGGTAGCACAGACCTTTAGGTTCAAAAACAATTGTCAAGTTGATTTCAAAGAGTATATAACTTCCATTCAAAGAACAAACCACTAATTTTTTGTTTTTAAAATAAAATTCTTGTCGCTTTATTTTTAGTTTTTGGAGGGATAAGTATTAAGTAAAAAATTAATATTGTTTTAACCTAAATAAATACAAGTTCGTAGAAAATGTAAAAAAAAAACAGTGTGCTTTTAAACACTTATTTAGTCTCAAATCTGACAAACAGATAGTATAACAATTTACTAATTTTTATAATAGTCTAATTATCTAAAATGAGATAAATACGAAGTATCGTATAGGTATATTAGGGCAAGCCATGTGTTTAATTTATATTACTTTCTGTATTTTTGCCAGTTAAGCAATGCATACACTTTGGAAGACTTTGTGCTTAATAATTTATAATAACTTAAGGTTTAAAATTGGGCGGCCTGGCACCAAAAATATTTGACCCAACACGAACTGTGGTAGCACCAACTTCAATCTGAAATGAATAAAATTCCGCTTAGGTAAATTTACATAGTTATCTTTGAATGAATCCAATATTCTTCCAAACCAAGATGCCAATATTTGATGACAGAGTGTATAGATAAAATATAAGAAAGAATACTTACAGCATGTTCAAAATCACTGGACATACCCATAGACAATTCTACATTTTTTATATCTAAATTCAGTTTATTGCAAACTTCTTCCCGACATTTTGCCAATGTTATGAAATCTGGATTAGGGCCTTTTGATAAATCATAGTCATACTGGCCAATAGTCATTAAGCCAGTAAACTCAAGATTTTGACAATTCTTCAATACATGCTCAACTAGTTGACATGTCTCTGGTGGTTCGATGCCATTTTTTGCTGTTGAAAATTAATATGAATTATTCATTTCTTTTATTCAACTAAAATATTTTATAAACAAATTATATCAAATACAAAAGTATCATCCCAGTTCCATACATGTAACACACATCCATTTGAAACCATGTAACTTCAAAATCTTAGTGGATTTGGATGATATTATATAAAAGAAATCATTTAATGCAACTATTTTATTACCTTCTTCACCACTTGTATTTATTTGCACCATAATCTTTAACTTTTCTTCTTCTTTTCTATATTTCAGCCATTGTTTATTTAAATTATCAGCCAGTTTTTCAGAATCAACAGTTTCAACCATAAACAAACCAGGAGAGCCGAGAAGTTTATTTATTTTATTTGTTTGTAGATGGCCAATGAAATGCCACTTTATTTCTTTGCATTTATCCAATATTAATGGGTCTTTGGCTTTATCTGCAAGTTCATTTACATAATTTTCTCCGAAATGTCTCTGCCCTGCTTCATAAGCTTGAACTATTAATGTTGCAGGTTTTATTTTTGATACTGCTACTAATCTTGGTATTACTTGTGGGAGATCCTGTAATTTTTTACAAATAGAAAGCCTAAATCAAAATACATAATGATATAGACCCGATTTTTTGTTAATTCCTACAGGTATAATAAAATCTATGAGATAACTACTGTATGTCTTTTTTGTCGATTAAAATTTAAGATGTAATAAATGTCGCTATCAATTTGATTTGATGAACAATATCATCTGGTCACATTATTGTTTTAAAGGGAATGTTGTAGAACAGGTTATAGGTCAAGATCTACTTTGATAGAAATAATGGCCTGCAATCCCATTAGTAGATCAGCATGTTTTTTCTCTTCCCGGGATTTCAGGATAAAATTGTGAACGTACTTACTTTGCTCCTCCTGGCTACAGCTGAGTCTATTTGAGCCAAAACAGTTTTTAATCCGTGCATAACGTCTATTTCTTGATCACTCTGTACTGACATAATGCTTACAATGTTTTGATATAAAACTTGTTGTTTTAAGATTTTCGTTGACCTTCCGATATTGACGATTTTATCAGCAGTTATCAGTTGTCACTGTCACATATAATCGTCAAAACTTTTTAAAATGTTGCCATTTTTTTTTCGTTTTTTAATATATGAGAAAGATTTTTTCTTAACCTTTAAGAACAAAATAAGCAGCTTTTGAGAAATCATAACTACCAAATTACTCAAAGTGATAATGTTCATTAAACATAAACGTTTTCATGATAAACCTGAAAAGTACTTTCAACAGAAAATTAAATTTTTTGAACGCAGTAGTAAACGTCAAGTCGATTGATTTTCCTTTCGTTTGTTTGTTGAGGTTTACAGTGATTTTTGCGATGAAAATTGATGTTTTCTTAACAAACGTTCGATAACCATGTTTGTGCAAAATATTTCTATGAGAGATTGATAAAGCTCGCAATCATGAATGTCTTAGAGAAGGCAGAAAAGTCATTAGAATTTTTGAAAAGCGGGGAAGGAAGTGCGAAGTAAGTTTTGTGTTACAGTGACATATATTTAAGTTGTTATGAAAATAAACGTAATATACGAACCTTTTTCAATTGTTTTAGGGGCCATGAGCTGCAGGCTGCTGCCGGGACCCTAGGTCGTTGTTTAGGAGCTTTAGGAAGTCGTCCAAATTGTGCTAGACATTATGGTAATTTCTTACACTCTGCCGTACCTATTTTCTTGTCTTTGGCTAGCAACGATAGTGTAAGTATTTTATAATTTCCAATAGCCCCATATTATACAAAAAAAATTTACAAAGAAGGTTTATAAATAATTTATTTTTATTAAATTATCTCTTTCAGGCTGAAGTGCGACTAGTAGGAGATGAAGCTTTGAATCGTTCAGTTGCTGGAGGATTTGCTTTTCATTCATACAAAACAAACATTATACTACAAAATCAAATCGACCATAACAAAAATGCAAGGTATATTTATGTTCTAAATTTAATCTTACCTTTGACTGTGGGGAAGACAGTTTTGAGCTAAATTAATTTCTACATTTTCAGATGGATCAGAGCAGCACTCTCTCGTATATGTCTTGGCGACTGCTGGTTACGTCCAGGTGTTGGCAAGATACGGACCCAAGCACAAACATTATTTCCAAAGCTCAGCCAAATTGTACAACATACAAATGAAATACAACTCATTGTTGAGGCGTTAGAGTCTAATTTGCCAAGAATTTTAAATGCATTGGCTGAATATACAACTGATGAAGAGATTTCAGGTAATTTTTGCTATTACTATAGAGTTCCACTCTACACTTGTATTATTACTTATTGTCCTCCCTTTTCATCCTCTTTGGTAAAACAGAGACAAAATTATGTGTTTAAGTGACACTTCATTGAATTCTATATCTATGTAGTAATAGTCAAACCTGGATAAGCGAGACTCCAAGGGGCGGGCAATATTTTTCTTGCTTATAGAGGTTTATGCCACTTAAGTTTGTGGCTTATGGAGGTTGTCTGTTGGCACAGGACAAGGACTATAGTTTATCAATGTCAAATCAATGAAACTACCAGCGGGTGGCAAGGGGAAATACTTTATCTGTTGCAGCTACACTTAAATAGTCTTAGGATCTTCTCTTCTCTTCTTAGGTCTTAGGTTACAAGTTAACATTTTTGAAAGTAAATATGTATTATTTTGAATATTCCAGAATTATCTAAAGCGTTACTATCACATGTGGATTGCTCAGAAGCTTCTGTACGGAGAGGGATAGCTAATTGTGTAGCGCATCTCACTTCACATAGAGAACCGTTGCTTACTAATATATTGAATAAAGTGTTTGGTAAGTATGGTAGACATATAAATATTTTATTTTAAAGAATAAGTTAACTGTTTCAATATTTTCTACACTAGCTGTCGACCGCGACTACATCCACGCGGAACTAAAAAACAACTTTATAAGTAGCCTATGTTTTCTTCCAGACTATGTTCTATATATATGCCAAATTTCAGCAACATCCATTAAGCTGTTCTGGAGTTATCTTCAAACAAACATCCATCCATCCTCTAATAATCTAAACATTCGCATATATTATAATATATGTTTTGCCTATTGTATATATTTTAGGTTTTGATTGCAATTAAATATACAAAGTCTTTTCATTTGATATAAGCTTTTAGATTAACATTGTTAAAGAATTGAACATTATAACGGTGGGTTTCTGAGACCAAATGTTTTATCAAAGATAATAGCAGGGTTGATGATTTTATACATAGAATTTGATCTCAGAAGCCTATTGTAAGTCATATTATGTACCAGTAATGTAATTTTGTTTTCAGAAAATCTTTGGCCGACAGCGGCGAGTGATACGATTATTGTCGGATGGTTTTGCGTCATCAAAGCCATGTTCCAGATCAATGATATGGAGAAATTCACAGATAACGATTTATTTGGTGTTCAAGATTATTTAGAGGTATGTCATATAAGCGAGAGCGTCGGTGGCTCAGTGGTCAAGTACTTGACTTGCAATCTGCAGGTCCTGGGTTCGAATCCCGCCATGTACCAATGTGTTTTTCCATTTCCGATTTACATATGCACATTTATCCGACGTTCTTACGGTGAAGGAAAACATCGTGATGCAACCTGCACATATCTGAGAAGTAATTCAAAGATATGTGTGAAGTCAACCCGCACTTGGTCAGCGTGGTTGACTATGGCCTAATCACCCTTAACTTAGGGTAGGCTCCGAGCCCCTAAGTGGGGACGTATAGTGAGCTGATGATGTGAATTAATTTAATATTCAATTTGACTTTACAATTTACAAATTGGCAGTATTCTAATAAGTCAATAAAAATTATAGTTTAATTTCTTTTTTTTTCCAGCTCTATCATCTATGCATACATTATTTGGAACAAACAACAACTGAACATAATGTACAGAATGCAGTGATGGAATGTCTGTCCGTGTTATTGTCACAAGCCAACGCTGAACAAAGGAGGGCTTTGTTGGACAAACATCCAAGATTAGTTTGCTTAGATGATAGGAAGAGTGAAAAGGGGCATCGAAGGCATATAAGTAAGTTTTTATTAGTTTCTACAATTAGTTTATTTTTTAACTTGTCAAAGTATTATTAGGTTTTTTGGATATAAGTAAAATCGTTTGATTTTTTAACTGAAATTAAGATTTCAGGACCTCATTTAATAATACTTTAACAGTGGTAGAGCGCTTTAACATATGTTGCATGAATTGGCCGGTTTGCCTGATGAAATACAATGACCACATAGGCGACAGGTGTCAAGTGGAAGAAATTCCAACTACAGTCTGATGATTATGGTATCGGAGGATTAATTTTAATTCTCTTTTCCTTCCCATCTTTTTTAAGGAATAGATGGGAAGTAAAAGTGGATTTTCCGGATATAGGTATGCATGGGAAGGGAAATAATCTCTTTCTGTGCATCCCATTCTTCATTGATTAGCTATTCCAGCGATTTTAGGTTGATATTTCGTTTAGCACCTCATAATGATACTAATATTGTAAATGCGAATGGATGGATGGATGTTTGTTTGAAGATATCTCCATAACGGTTGCATAGATGTCATTGAAATTTGGCATATGTATAAAACATAGTAAAGAACACATATCCTACTTACTACTAATTATGTTTTTTTTCAAATTCCGCTCGTACGAAATCGCGAGTGCTTGGTATAAAAAATGTTGTATGTTAGGTTCAGTGAGCGCGGTGTCATGTCGCAGCGCGCCCAGTCCGTTAACAGAGGGTCGCGAGCTGGACGTGCTGGTGCGTGGCGCGCTGCAGCTCGGCAGTCTGCTGCAGCTTACCACGCCCAGCCTCAGCGTTGAAGATCTCACTATACAGGTACAAAAACATTAGAGGTTGTCTGCGAATTCATCAGCGCAAGATAAAAAATAGCCTATAACTGCTCGTATGCATTAGCTATCTTCTCCAAGTCCGGTCCAAATCGGTCCACTAGTTCCGGATATTACCCGGAACAAATGTGGCCTTACGGACAGATATACAACAAAAATTTTAACAATAAGATTTTGGCTTATTTATTTTATACTAGCTGTCGCCCGCGATTCCGTCCGACCGGATTTAAAAAAACCGCTATCGGTCGCAATGTAATGTTATATAGCCTAAAGTCTTCCTCTATAAATGGACTATCGAACAAAAAAATAATTTTTCAAATCGGACCAGTACTTCCTGAGATTAGCGCGTTAAAACAAACAGACAAACAAACTCTTTCGCTTTATAAAATTAGTATATAAATTAGTAAATGTCCTCTGAATATGATTTTTTATATAGATATAAGGAAATAAATTCTTGTATCATTGGATTTAATCTCACTAGCGTTATTGTAAAATGTTATTATTTCATGTTTCCGATGAACTTATAAGAGTTAATTAAAAGTGACTAGATTCACAATTTGTTTGTGACATATATTAATAAGTCTTGACTTACTGGAAAAGGGAGAAGACAAAAACTTCTAGCACAACATTCAATAGTAATAATCATTTTATTTGTACAGACACCAGATTCACCGGCAAGTGACAAAGATATACAGCTACGGGATGCTGAACAACTGTCCAAGGAGTTAGCGGAGAAACTGGAAGAAATGGATGTCACCGACCACTGTGATGATGATGTTCATATACATGATACCTCTTTTAAGGTACGTATATAATATAGACTTATATACATAAAAATAAAAATAAAAAGATATATGACGTGTAGAGAACTAGGGAAAGTGAACAGATGAATATGAAATTTGATGTAGTTTGTAGTTTTTTTATAAGTTCGCAAACGTACAAGCGACTCCCTGGATTCGCCGAAATGGCGAAGCGACTGTTGCCCGTAGACATACGCAATTTTAGATACATTGCCTATCGATGGAAGATGAGATGCACAGAAAGAGAATATATCCCCTTATACGTTCCTTATAAGAAGAGAAAGAAGGAAAATAGTTCTAAAATTATGCCTTCGGAATGCGTTATGTATATAAATTCTTTTTTAATTAAAAAAGGGCCATGACAGACAGACGGACTGATAAAAAAGTGGTCCTATAAGAGTTCCGTTTTTTCCTATGAGGTACGAAACCCTCAAAATTGATAATTGAATTTCAACCAATAGGCGAATAGTATAAAAGTATTCACATATTTTAGCAGCTCTGAAGTTCGCAGTGACCTTGAGCCGTTAAGATATTTGAAATGACTGATAGGAAATACATTAATCAAATCTCTTCAGATAAATATCGGGTCATCAAGTGATGATGACGTAGTACTGAAATACTGCGCGCGATTGTTGACCTCAAAGTTTCTACTGACTGGGAATAAAGGAGGGTTCATACCTGATAGGTGAGTAATGTATATATAGATTTATAGGGCAGTAGTTTTTAAAAACCTAAAAATGCTTGTGGATGGAAAACAAAGATATCTTATTGATTTTATTTTTAACTTTAGATATCACATCAAGAAATCTAGATTTTTGTGCTAAAGATCAAATTTAAGACTTATTTTGTAATAAAATGTATTATAAAACTGTAAATATTATGGTATAGTATAGGAATTTGAATATGGGGCACACAAGCTTTGGGTACATTAATGGGGAAGGAAAATTGAAAGCTCGAGGTAGATGGCGCTAGCGTCAAGAAAGAGCTGTCATCTGTCATCTGTCAAATGTGTTATACGTCATTCTAGTGAATTTAAAAATGTATTTCTTTTTTTTTTTGTTATAAATAACATAACATTCAAAGAAATACTTATTTTTTTTTAATTTTATACCTGAAATTTGACGGAAGTCTTTGCTATGATTTCTATATTTAGTGTTAAAGACAATTTTTCTTTGATTAAAAGTGGTGGTAAAAGAAATCCGAAACATTAAAGTGACATATACATTGCTTTCTGATTTGTGTCTACTGCCTACTCCTCTACGTTGATAGCGTGATTGATGTGACGTTGTTTCTCAGATCGATGAGAGTGTCAGTGAAGGCGTCAGCTTTGACCTGTCTGTCAGAGATTTTGCGCGTGTACCCGCAAGTTATGACTATATATTTAGACAAAGATGCAGATATCAAACTGCAGAATTATTCCGGTAAGGCAAACCTTTTTAACTTAGACTCACAACTTAGATCAGACTCAGAGTCTTTCATAACTTAAGTACACTAAAGAATATATAACTTTTGTCTATGGTATTATATTTTTAATATTAATTTAATAATAATATTGGATTAAAATAAAGTTTTTAATGTTCTTTATAGAAGTGTTCAATAGCCTAGTATTTTTTTTTAATTTTTGATTCGTCTAACCGTAGGTTTTTGAGACCAAAATCTCAGTTTAAAACATGTTATCTCTGTTTTGTCAAAGATTTAGACATTATTAGTTAGAATCCTATGACGTGAATATCGCGCTTTCATTACAAAGTCAACTGTCAGAATGAATAGTGAATTACTAATAAAATGTTGAAATATGAATAATATTTTTCGATCTTACCGATAGAAAAGTTAAGTTTATGTTTAAGTTGATTATCAATAAAACACGAATAAAATGACATTTTCTAAAAATGATTTCTAGCTAGATCGATTTATCGCCTCCGAAACCCCCTATATACTAAATTTTATGAAAATCATTGGAGCCGATTTCGAGATTCCAATTATA